GATTGTTTCCTTTGCTGTGCAGAAGGTTTTTAATTTGATATACTCCCATTTGTTTATTTTTTCTTTTTTTGTCTGTGCTTTTAGGGTGTTATTCATAAAGTTTTTGCCCAGTCCTAAGTCCTGGAATGTTTCCCTTATGTTTTCTTCTAGGAGTTTTAAATTTGCAAGTCTTATATTTAAATCTTTAATACATTTTGAGTTGATTTTGGTATATGGTGAGAGGTACGAATCAAGTTTCGTTCTTCTACGTATGGATATCCAGTTTTCCCAGCACCATTTATTGAAGAGGCAGTCTTTTCCCCAGTTATTTTCTTGGTGCCCTTGCTGAAGATCAGTTGTCTGTAAATACATGGGTTGATTTCTGGGTTTTGCATTCTGTCCCATTGGTCCATGTGTCTTTTTTTATGCCAGTACCATGCTGTTTTTGTTACTGTAGATTTGTAATACAGTTTGAAGTCAGGAAGTGTAATGCCTCCAACTTTACTTTTTTTGCTCAGAATTGCTTTGGCTATTTGGGGTCTTTTGTTGTTCCATATGAATGCTAGGATTGCTTTTTCTATTTATTTGAAGAATGTCATTAGTATTTTGAGGGGGATCACATTGAATCTGTAGATGGCTTTGAGTAGTAAGGACATTTTCACTGTGTTGATTCTTCCAACCCATGAACAAGGAATGTCTTTCCATCTTATGGTGTCCTCTTAATTTCTTTAAGTAGTGATTTGTAATTCTCATTTTAGAGATCTTTCACATCCTTGGTTAGATTTATTCCTAGGTATTTTATTTTTTTTTAATTTTTTTATTTTTATTTTTCCTTTTTGTCTTTTTTCGTGTCCGGCAACGGATCGCAACCCTCGGTGTCGCGCCTGTACCGGACCGGGACCGGCAACGGGATCGCAACCCTCAGTGTCGTGCCCGCACCTCGCTCAGCCAGTGAGCGGGAACCGGTCTGTATGTGGGATCCGAACCCTCAGCGGGAGCGCCACCGCACTCCCAAGCGGCGCACTGTAGCAGTGCGCCACCGGGCCGGCCCTATTTTTTTGGTGACTATTGTAAATGGGTTTGCTTTCTTGATCTCTTTTTCTAGTAGTTCATTGTTGGAATATAAAAATGATACTGATTTTTGTATATTGATTTTGTATTCTGCAACCTTAGTGAATTTGTTTATCAGTTCAAGAGATTTTTGGAAGAATTAACATTGTGAAAATGTCTATGCTACCCAAAGCGATCTACAGATTCAATGCAACACCATCAAAATACTGATGACATTTTTCACAGACATGGAAAAAACAATCTTAACTTTCATATGGAACAACAAAAGACCCCAAATAGCCAAAGCAATCCTGAACAAAAAAAATAAAGCCAGTGACATAAAACTACCTGGCTTCAAATTATACTACAAAGCTAATGTAACTAAAACAGCATGGTACTGGCATAAAAATGGACACTCAGACCAGGGGAGCAGAATTGAGAACCCAGAAATCACCCTCAGGCTTATAGTCATCTGATATTGGACAAAGGCAACAAAAATCTAAATTGGGAAAAAGAATGCCTCTTCAACAAATGGTGCAGGCCAAATTGGATATCCATATGCAGAGGAATGAAATTAGATAGCACCTCTCACCATATACTAAAATCAACTCAAAATGGATTAAAGACTTAAGTGTAAGACCTGAAACTGTAAAATTACTAAGGGAAAATATAGGTGAAACACTTCAGGAATTAAATCTGGGCACAGACTTTATGAACATGAGCCCAAAAGCACAAGCAGCAAAAGAAAAAGTAAACAAATGAGACTACATCAAACTAAAAAGCTTCTGCACAGCAAAGGAAACAATCAACAGAGTGAAACGACAACCTACAGCGTGGGAGAAAATTTTTGCTAACTATGCATCCAACAACGGGCTAGTATCCATAATATACAAGGAACTCAAGCAATCACACAGTAAAAAAACAAATAACCTAATTAAAAAATGGACAAAGGAGCTGAATAGACATTTTTCAAAGGAAGACATACAAATGACCAACAGGTACATGGAAAAATGCTCAACATCACTAGTCATCAGGGAAATGCAAATTAAAACTGCATTGAGATACTATCTCACCCCAGTTAGACTGGCTATAATCAAAAAGACAGTGAATAATAAATGCTGGTGAGGATATAGAGAGAAGGGAACACTCCTGCACTGTTGGTGGGACTGTAAATTAGTACAACCACTATGGAAAACAGTATGGAGTTTCCTCAACAACAGATAGATCTTCCATATGATCCAGCAATCCCTCTTCTGGGTGTATACCCAGAGGAATGGAAATCATCATGTCGAAGGGATACCTGTACTCCCAAGTTCGTCACAGCTCTGTTTATAATAGTGAAGACGTGGAACCAACCTAAATGGCCATCAGTGGATAATTGGATAAGGAAAATGTGGCATATATACACCATGGAATACTACTCTGCCACAAAAAGAATGAAATTCTCCCATTTGCAACAACATGGATGAGCCTGTAGAAACTTACATTGACTGAAATAAGCAAGGCACAGAGAGATAAATACCGCCTGTACTCACTCATAAGTGGGAGCTAAGAGAGAAAGAAGGAAGGAGAGGAATACCACAGTGGTGTGTTGGACTTCCAGAGGAGAGAACATACCTTGGGATACAAAGGGGAGGAGGGGGGGAAGGGGGAGGGGAGTGGGGGATAATTGGGTGGGGGCCATGGGATACAAATACAATTTGTGGTAACATGCATGTTATCAGTATGGATCTGGCCTTCACATCTTGGGCATGAGGGTTGACAATCAGCTTTGTATATCATGAATAGTCATAGCCAATTAAAAAAAAAGTTGTTTGGTGGAGTCTGTCAGGTTTTCTATATATAGAATCATGTCACCTGCAAACAGGGAGAATTTGATTTTATCTTTTGCTATTTGGATGCCCTTTATTTCTTTCTGTTGTCTAATTGCTCTGGCAAGTACTTTTCAGAGTAGATATCCTTGTCTTGTTCCTGATCATAAGAGGAAAGCTTTCAGCTTTTCCCCATTCAGGATGATACTGGCAGTGTATTTATTGAATATGGCCTTTATTGTGTTGAGATACCTTCCTTCTATACCTAATTTGTTGAGAGTCTTTATCATGAAGGAACGTTGAATTTTATCAAATGCTTTTTCTGTACCTATTAAGATGATCATATGGTTTTTGTTCTTGATTTTGTTAATGTGGTGTATTACATTTATTGATTTGTGTATGCTGAACCATCCTTGCATTCCTGGGATGAATCCCACTTGATCATGGTGTATAATCTTTTTGATGTACAACTATATTCTGTTTGCTGGTATTTTGTTGAGGATTTTTGTGTCTAAGTTCATCAAGGATATTGGCTTATAGTTTTTTTTTGTTGTATCTGTCTGGTTTTGTTATCAGGGTATAGAATGAGTTTGGGAGAATGGTTTCTGTTTCAATTTTTTGGTATAGTATGTAAAGCATTGGTATTAATTCCGATTTAAAAGTTTGGTACAATTCAGCAGTGAATCCATCTGGTCCTGGGCTTTTCTTTGTTGGGAGACTGCTGACTACTGCTTCAGTCTTGTTGCTCATTATTGATCTATTCAGTTTTTCTATGTTTTCTTGGTTCAATCTTGGTAGTCTGTATATGTCCAGAAATTTATCCATTTCCTCCGTGTTTTCAAATTTGTTGATGCATAGTTGTTCGGTTATCTCTAATGATTCTTTGTATTTCTGTGGTATCAGTTATGATATCTTCTTTTTCATTTCTGATTTTTGTTATTTGGGTCTTTCTCCTTATTTTAGTTAGTCTGGCTAGTGGTTTGTCTATTTTATTTATCTTCTCCAAAAACCAACTTTTGTCTTATTGATCTTTTGTATTGTATTTTTGGGGTTTATTTCATTTAGTTCTGCTCTGATTTTAATTATATCTTTCCTTCTACTAACTTTGGGATTAGGTTGTTCTTGTTTTTCAAGTTCTTTTGGGTGTAATGTTAGGTTGTTTATTTGGAGTCTTTCTTTTCTTTTGAGGTAAGCATTTATTGCAATAAGCTTTCCTCTCAGGACTGCTTTTGCAGTATCACATAGGTTTTGGTATGATGTGTTGTTATTATTGTTGGTTTCAAGAAATTTTTAGATTTCCTGTTTGATTTCAGAGTATGTTGTTTAATTCCATGTATTTGTGTGATTTCCAAAGTTTTTTTTTATTGATTTCTAGTTTTAATTCATTGTGGTCTGAGAAATGATTTTAATTTTTAAAAATTTGTTGATACTTGATTTGTGACCTAATATGTCATCTATCTTGGAGAATGTTCCATGTGCTGATGAGAAGAATGTATATTCTCTAGTTGTTGGGTGAAATGTTCTATATATATCCACCAAGTCCATTCGGTCGAAAGTGTAGTTTAAATCCTGTTTCCTTTTGGTTTGTTGCCTAGATGATCTGTCCAGTGCTGAGAGGGGTGGGGCTCTTGGGGCTGGTGTAGAGGTGCTCAAGTTGCTCCTGGTGGAAGCTATGTGGGGCGGGGCTCCTGGGGCTCCTACCTGGCTGCTGGGGCCTCCCCCTGGAAAGTGGTGAGGGGTGGTGTTCTTAGGGCTGGTACCAAGCTACTGAGGCCTTTCCCTGTGGGAGCTGTAAGGGACAGAGCACCCAGGGCATGTGCCGAGCTGCTCCAGTATCTACTGGGGAAAGCCTCAAGGGCAGGGCCTCCTGGGATTGCTGCCTACTGGCTCCAGCCTCCTGCAATGGAAGCCTTGTACGGTGTTGGCTCTGGAGGCTGCAGCAGGCAGCACAGCATTCTGATGTTTGGGGCTATTGGCTGCTCAGTGGACATGGCTAGATCTGCCTGGCCTGCAGTTCCAGAGGCTGTGGCTGTAGGTGGTGTGGGTAGTACAGCGGTGTGTGCCAGTGGCTGCTGCAGGGAACAAGAGGAACTCCTGTAGGGGGAGAAGGATCCCTGCCCTGGGGCTAGACAATGGCACTGNTTTTTTTTCTTGTTTCAGGCAACCTAATGAGGCCTCTTTTGAATTATGGCATTCCTTGGTGAGCATATCGCTTTTACTTCATGTTACTTTTCCGAATAATATTGATTAACTTATACAAATTATTTGTATTTTTGGATTACTGTTTTCAGTATGTCTATGGGCTTCCTGGTTGAAGAGACTGCACCAGTTGTTTGGAGAGGCCTTATGGTAATGTCAGCCATTGAGAAACTGTTGAGGCAGGTAAGAAAATTGCATTAAATATTATTTTATTATCGGCAAAGTTGTGGTTAATGTATTTGTTGATTGGAGAGTTGTTAAAATTTGCACTGAGATTTGAGATGTTTTACAAAGGAATCCAGTTGATGTGCTGAATGTATAATGAGTAATGTGGCACTTAATGAGATACGTAGCGCTGAGATCATATTGCACTGTTATATGATTTAATACTTTCTGTTGCTTATGAGTATTAAAAATCCTAGTGTCTTATTTTATATTGTTTTGTTGCTTTGTTGAGTCTACATTGAGAACAGAAGTATTTGATAAGTAATCTGTCTTCTTTAGATTTATGGTTGATCTCACTGTATTCAATATTGAGTTATAAGGGAAGGGTAGAAATTCCTCATATGTAGAAAAAAATTATATAAACTATGGTACTTGTAGTTTCAAATAGTTTCAAAAAAAAGTGAAGTTTTGTTTTACTCTGAGTATATATGGTTATACATTTGCATGTATATTATCTGTCTAATCAACTTTAATTTATCCTTAAGAAAGGAAGAGAACATTTGATTGGAAAATCTAAAAATATTAGACGGACTGTATGTTATTTATAGTTTCCTTGGGATAAATTTTATTTTTTTCTCAGTAGATGTGAGTTTATAATTGTCTTCTAGGTAAATATTAAAAGCAATTTGCATTTACTCCTCCAACTTACAACAGTTACTCCTTATTTATTCATATTCTACTTTGGGGCAGGCACCACGCTGTAAGTTGACAAATATAATGATTGATATTCCTATATTCATTTTCAGATGCACAGGTAAATAGATGAAATATGTCTTGAATTCTGAAACTCTTCTTTCTTCATGATAACAGCTATCTTGTCTTTCTACTACTTCTGCTACTTGAGTTCTGATAAAGATGCTTTTTGGTCTTTGGTCCCAGACTCTTCCTATTCCCTAGACATTTAAGTCTCTTGGCTGCATTTCTTCCTGTTCTATACTCAGATCCTGTAGTTTGTTGTTTTAGTTATACTCCCCCAAACACTCCTTCTCCGCCAATTCCTTTGTGACCTTTGTTTGTCTTGATTAATCCAGCCTCTCTGTTCTCTACTGCTGAATACTGTAGGAGAATATAGAATAATTGTGTGAATTGCCTGCGTTTTACATTGTTGCATTCTGAGTTTAGTTTAGTCAGCTCTTCAGTCATCTGATTTTACTCATTGTTCTCAACATTTATCAAAAGCTCAGCTTAAGAAATATTTAGGGAATTTGGTAGTTTGGCAGAGGACCAAGTGGAGATTTAGTGAAAATGAGCTCTCTGACACATAAATTATATAAAAGTCACGGTTTATTCTGGTAAGTGCTGAAGATACATTTTCAGCAAACGCATTACAAAATATCAGGATGAAAGATGGGGTGAGAAAATGGATCCCTGTCTTATTTTATNTGGGATCCGAACCCTCAGCGGGAGCGCCACCGCACTCCCAAGCGGCGCACTGTAGCAGTGCGCCACCGGGCCGGCCCTATTTTTTTGGTGACTATTGTAAATGGGTTTGCTTTCTTGATCTCTTTTTCTAGTAGTTCATTGTTGGAATATAAAAATGATACTGATTTTTGTATATTGATTTTGTATTCTGCAACCTTAGTGAATTTGTTTATCAGTTCAAGAGATTTTTGGAAGAATTAACATTGTGAAAATGTCTATGCTACCCAAAGCGATCTACAGATTCAATGCAACACCATCAAAATACTGATGACATTTTTCACAGACATGGAAAAAACAATCTTAACTTTCATATGGAACAACAAAAGACCCCAAATAGCCAAAGCAATCCTGAACAAAAAAAATAAAGCCAGTGACATAAAACTACCTGGCTTCAAATTATACTACAAAGCTAATGTAACTAAAACAGCATGGTACTGGCATAAAAATGGACACTCAGACCAGGGGAGCAGAATTGAGAACCCAGAAATCACCCTCAGGCTTATAGTCATCTGATATTGGACAAAGGCAACAAAAATCTAAATTGGGAAAAAGAATGCCTCTTCAACAAATGGTGCAGGCCAAATTGGATATCCATATGCAGAGGAATGAAATTAGATAGCACCTCTCACCATATACTAAAATCAACTCAAAATGGATTAAAGACTTAAGTGTAAGACCTGAAACTGTAAAATTACTAAGGGAAAATATAGGTGAAACACTTCAGGAATTAAATCTGGGCACAGACTTTATGAACATGAGCCCAAAAGCACAAGCAGCAAAAGAAAAAGTAAACAAATGAGACTACATCAAACTAAAAAGCTTCTGCACAGCAAAGGAAACAATCAACAGAGTGAAACGACAACCTACAGCGTGGGAGAAAATTTTTGCTAACTATGCATCCAACAACGGGCTAGTATCCATAATATACAAGGAACTCAAGCAATCACACAGTAAAAAAACAAATAACCTAATTAAAAAATGGACAAAGGAGCTGAATAGACATTTTTCAAAGGAAGACATACAAATGACCAACAGGTACATGGAAAAATGCTCAACATCACTAGTCATCAGGGAAATGCAAATTAAAAGCCGTACAGCAGTGTAATGCCTCCAACTTTGCATTGAGATACTATCTCACCCCAGTTAGACTGGCTATAATCAAAAAGACAGTGAATAATAAATGCTGGTGAGGATATAGAGAGAAGGGAACACTCCTGCACTGTTGGTGGGACTGTAAATTAGTACAACCACTATGGAAAACAGTATGGAGTTTCCTCAACAACAGATAGATCTTCCATATGATCCAGCAATCCCTCTTCTGGGTGTATACCCAGAGGAATGGAAATCATCATGTCGAAGGGATACCTGTACTCCCAAGTTCGTCACAGCTCTGTTTATAATAGTGAAGACGTGGAACCAACCTAAATGGCCATCAGTGGATAATTGGATAAGGAAAATGTGGCATATATACACCATGGAATACTACTCTGCCACAAAAAGAATGAAATTCTCCCATTTGCAACAACATGGATGAGCCTGTAGAAACTTACATTGACTGAAATAAGCAAGGCACAGAGAGATAAATACCGCCTGTACTCACTCATAAGTGGGAGCTAAGAGAGAAAGAAGGAAGGAGAGGAATACCACAGTGGTGTGTTGGACTTCCAGAGGAGAGAACATACCTTGGGATACAAAGTGGAGGAGGGGGGGAAGGAACCAACCTAAATGGCCATCAGTGGATAATTGGATAAGGAAAATGTGGCATATATACACCATGGAATACTACTCTGCCACAAAAAGAATGAAATTCTCCCATTTGCAACAACATGGATGAGCCTGTAGAAACTTACATTGACTGAAATAAGCAAGGCACAGAGAGATAAATACCGCCTGTACTCACTCATAAGTGGGAGCTAAGAGAGAAAGAAGGAAGGAGAGGAATACCACAGTGGTGTGTTGGACTTCCAGAGGAGAGAACATACCTTGGGATACAAAGGGGAGGAGGGGGGGAAGGGGGAGGGGAGTGGGGGATAATTGGGTGGGGGCCATGGGATACAAATACAATTTGTGGTAACATGCATGTTATCAGTATGGATCTGGCCTTCACATCTTGGGCATGAGGGTTGACAATCAGCTTTGTATATCATGAATAGTCATAGCCAATTAAAAAAAAAGTTGTTTGGTGGAGTCTGTCAGGTTTTCTATATATAGAATCATGTCACCTGCAAACAGGGAGAATTTGATTTTATCTTTTGCTATTTGGATGCCCTTTATTTCTTTCTGTTGTCTAATTGCTCTGGCAAGTACTTTTCAGAGTAGATATCCTTGTCTTGTTCCTGATCATAAGAGGAAAGCTTTCAGCTTTTCCCCATTCAGGATGATACTGGCAGTGTATTTATTGAATATGGCCTTTATTGTGTTGAGATACCTTCCTTCTATACCTAATTTGTTGAGAGTCTTTATCATGAAGGAACGTTGAATTTTATCAAATGCTTTTTCTGTACCTATTAAGATGATCATATGGTTTTTGTTCTTGATTTTGTTAATGTGGTGTATTACATTTATTGATTTGTGTATGCTGAACCATCCTTGCATTCCTGGGATGAATCCCACTTGATCATGGTGTATAATCTTTTTGATGTACAACTATATTCTGTTTGCTGGTATTTTGTTGAGGATTTTTGTGTCTAAGTTCATCAAGGATATTGGCTTATAGTTTTTTTTTGTTGTATCTGTCTGGTTTTGTTATCAGGGTATAGAATGAGTTTGGGAGAATGGTTTCTGTTTCAATTTTTTGGTATAGTATGTAAAGCATTGGTATTAATTCCGATTTAAAAGTTTGGTACAATTCAGCAGTGAATCCATCTGGTCCTGGGCTTTTCTTTGTTGGGAGACTGCTGACTACTGCTTCAGTCTTGTTGCTCATTATTGATCTATTCAGTTTTTCTATGTTTTCTTGGTTCAATCTTGGTAGTCTGTATATGTCCAGAAATTTATCCATTTCCTCCGTGTTTTCAAATTTGTTGATGCATAGTTGTTCGGTTATCTCTAATGATTCTTTGTATTTCTGTGGTATCAGTTATGATATCTTCTTTTTCATTTCTGATTTTTGTTATTTGGGTCTTTCTCCTTATTTTAGTTAGTCTGGCTAGTGGTTTGTCTATTTTATTTATCTTCTCCAAAAACCAACTTTTGTCTTATTGATCTTTTGTATTGTATTTTTGGGGTTTATTTCATTTAGTTCTGCTCTGATTTTAATTATATCTTTCCTTCTACTAACTTTGGGATTAGGTTGTTCTTGTTTTTCAAGTTCTTTTGGGTGTAATGTTAGGTTGTTTATTTGGAGTCTTTCTTTTCTTTTGAGGTAAGCATTTATTGCAATAAGCTTTCCTCTCAGGACTGCTTTTGCAGTATCACATAGGTTTTGGTATGATGTGTTGTTATTATTGTTGGTTTCAAGAAATTTTTAGATTTCCTGTTTGATTTCAGAGTATGTTGTTTAATTCCATGTATTTGTGTGATTTCCAAAGTTTTTTTTTATTGATTTCTAGTTTTAATTCATTGTGGTCTGAGAAATGATTTTAATTTTTAAAAATTTGTTGATACTTGATTTGTGACCTAATATGTCATCTATCTTGGAGAATGTTCCATGTGCTGATGAGAAGAATGTATATTCTCTAGTTGTTGGGTGAAATGTTCTATATATATCCACCAAGTCCATTCGGTCGAAAGTGTAGTTTAAATCCTGTTTCCTTTTGGTTTGTTGCCTAGATGATCTGTCCAGTGCTGAGAGGGGTGGGGCTCTTGGGGCTGGTGTAGAGGTGCTCAAGTTGCTCCTGGTGGAAGCTATGTGGGGCGGGGCTCCTGGGGCTCCTACCTGGCTGCTGGGGCCTCCCCCTGGAAAGTGGTGAGGGGTGGTGTTCTTAGGGCTGGTACCAAGCTACTGAGGCCTTTCCCTGTGGGAGCTGTAAGGGACAGAGCACCCAGGGCATGTGCCGAGCTGCTCCAGTATCTACTGGGGAAAGCCTCAAGGGCAGGGCCTCCTGGGATTGCTGCCTACTGGCTCCAGCCTCCTGCAATGGAAGCCTTGTACGGTGTTGGCTCTGGAGGCTGCAGCAGGCAGCACAGCATTCTGATGTTTGGGGCTATTGGCTGCTCAGTGGACATGGCTAGATCTGCCTGGCCTGCAGTTCCAGAGGCTGTGGCTGTAGGTGGTGTGGGTAGTACAGCGGTGTGTGCCAGTGGCTGCTGCAGGGAACAAGAGGAACTCCTGTAGGGGGAGAAGGATCCCTGCCCTGGGGCTAGACAATGGCACTGGCATCTTCTGTGGTGGTGA